AATAAACAAATACCAGAATGAGGTTCCCAGTGCTTAGCAATGAAATTCTTGAAATGGATACTAGCAGATTGGCGTACAGAAAGATCAGAGCCACCATCAACAATTATTTGCAGTATCCTTATCAAATGCTGTGGAGTGTGCTGCAACTGCAAATAAAAAAAAAATCGAACTTTTCAATCAGAATTTAAACATTAGATAGCACAGTCAAATCAAGTCAATCTTACGAAGAAAAAAAACATCTCATACTCGGAATTTGGATAAGCTTAGTTCTCTAACAATTCTAAAAAAATAAAGAGAGGAATCGAAAGTAGAGAGGACGGAACAATAACTAGAAGAAAATAAAAAATCAGTGTTTACCTGATTAAGGCTCTGCTCAGCAGCTCTACGCTCATCGGGATTGGGACTGAAAGCAGCCGCGCCAACGATTAAGGCGAGGCTAGGCAGATCCATCTTGAAATTCACAATCGGCAAGTCACGAATTTCAAATCTCCTCCCGGTCGTCTCTCCGGAGGAAATCGACGAGACGAGAGTCAAATCAAGAGGAAGAAGAGACGACGAAGACGAAAGAGAGAGAGGTATAAGAGAAGAAGGTCTAGGGTTTTAAATGGTTCGTTGGTGTGGTTAAGCCTCACAAACGCGCGTGGTGGTATAATAAGTAAAAAAAAAAAAAAAAAAAAACACACACGTGACACACACAATACAAAAACCGAGACATTGCCTGGAGCTAGTCCTCACGCCTTCGGTCGACGGACACTTTTCTTTTTTGTTTTTTTTTGGTCCGTAAATAATAATTGGGTTTATTATAATACAGTATAGAGTTATTGGTTTATGTAAACCGGGAACCAAATGTTAGATTACCCTTGGTTAAACCAGAACATTCTAGTATAAATAGAATGTATCGTTGCAACAAATCATTAATAAGAATAACAGAAAGATCTTCATCTTCTTCGTTTCTTCTTCAAGACTTCACTTCACTTGCTTCAAAAAGTGAAGTTTTACAGATTCTCCCTGGTTTTCTCGCAATGGTGGAGACTCAGTTTAAGACTTGTGTCAAGGCAGTCAGATCGGACAATGCTCCGGAGTTAAAGTTTGAGACATTATTCAAGGAAAAGGGGATCATCTCATACCATTCATGTCCAGAGACACCTCAACAGAACTCGGTTGTTGAGCGAAAGCATCAACATATACTCAATGTAGCAAGAGCATTGATGTTTCAATCTGGTGTATCTTTGGAATTTTGGGGAGATTGTGTGTTATCCTCAGTGTTTTTGATCAATCAGCTGCCATCTCCACTGCTCTCAAATAAATCTCCATTTGAACTGCTTCATTCTAAGGTACCAGACTACTCATTACTTCGAGTCTTCGGTTGCTTATGCTATCAATCAACAAGTACTCAGCAACGGCATAAGTTTGAACCTCGAGCCCGAGCATGTGTATTTCTTGGTTACCCTGCAGGTTACAAAGATATAAGCTTCTGGATTTGGAAACAAATACTGTTCATATATCACGACATGTGGTATTTTTTGAATCAGTCTTTCCTTTTGACAGCAAGCAAGAGATTCCTCAAGATATTTTTGAAGAAATGGGATACAGTGCTTCTGATGTTTCACTAATAAAGCCAGTTACACCAGTTGCTTTAGAAACACACGAAGCTACTCCATTACCCTGCTCTTCGTCTTCAATACCTGTTCCAACAGAGTCTAAGCGCCAAACAAGACCACCAGTACATCTTCAGGATTATTATTGCAATGCAGTCCCTATTTCTGATGACATGAAAGATATTAGGTATCCTCTTTCTGCCTATATCAACTATAATCAATTGTCTGAAGAGTTTACTGCCTATATATGTGCTGTTAACAAGTATCCAGAACCATGCACTTATGCTCAAGCCAAGAAAATTCAAGAATGGCTTGATGCTATGGAAATTGAGATTGAAGCACTGGAAACTACTAATACTTGGACAGTGTGTTCTCTGCCTGATGGTAAGAAACCAATTGGTTGTAAATGGGTGTTTAAAGTCAAACTCAATGCAGATGGAAGTTTGGAACGCTTTAAGGCTCGTTTGGTAGCGAAAGGTTATACGCAAAGAGAAGGCTTGGATTATGTTGATACATTCTCTCCAGTGGCAAAAATGACAACAGTTAAGCTTCTTTTATCTGTTGCAGCTGCTAAGAATTGGAGTTTGCATCAGTTAGACATTTCCAATGCTTTCCTCAATGGTGATTTGGATGAGGAAATTTATATGAGCTTGCCTCCAGGTTACTCAATGAGACAGGGAGGATCTTTTCCTGATAATGCTGTTCTTAAGCTTCAGAAATCATTATACGGTTTGAAACAAGCATCTCGACAGTGGTATTTAAAGTTCAGTTCGACATTAAAGGCTTTGGATTTCAAGAAATCTCATTCGGATCATACTCTTTTCACAAGAAAACAAGGTGATATCTACATTGCCTTATTGGTTTATGTAGATGATATTGTGATTGCTGGGAACAGTGATGAAGCAATCGCTCAATTGAAGAATGATTTAGCAAAAGCTTTTAAACTCAGGGATTTAGGTCCTTTGAAGTATTTTTTAGGCTTGGAAATTGCTAGATCAGAGAAAGGCATCTCTGTTTGTCAGAGGAAATACACTTTGGAGCTATTGGAGGATACTGGTTTGTTAGGCTGCAGACCCTCTTCTATCCCCATGGAACCGAGTCAAAAGTTAACTCAGCACAGTGATGAGCCAGTGTTGGATGAACCAGAAGTTTACAGAAGACTGGTCGGTAAGCTAATGTACTTAACTATTACTCGACCAGATATTACATATGCTGTTAATAAGCTATGTCAATTCTCTTCATCTCCAAAGCGCTCACATCTCAAAGCAGCTCAGAAGGTTGTTCACTATCTGAAAGGAACAATAGGCTTGGGTCTGTTCTATTCTTCTCAGTCTGATTTCTGTTTGAAGGCATTTACTGACGCAGACTGGGGCTCTTGTGTTGATTCTAGACGATCTACATCAGCCTATTGTATGTTTCTGGGAGATTCCTTAGTCTCATGGAAATCTAAGAAGCAGGATGTGGCATCTTATTCTTCTGCAGAATCTGAATATAGGGCCATGGCAATGGCAACAAAGGAAATTGCTTGGCTGGTCAAGTTACTTGATGAGTTGCAGGTTCCTCAAACAAAGCCTGTTCCGTTGTTTTGTGACTCGACTGCGGCTATTCACATAGCAAACAACTCAGTCTTTCACGAGCGTACAAAGCACATCGAGAACGATTGCCACGTTACCAGAGATCGCATTGAGCAAGGATTATTGAAGACATTGCATGTGAAAACAACAGCTCAACTTGCAGATGCCTTAACAAAACCTTTATTTCCTTCGCTCTTCAACTCTCTCATAAGCAAGATGAGTCTTCTTTCTATCCACGTCTCATCTTGAGGGAGGATATTGGTTTATGTAAACCGGGAATCAAATGTTAGATTACCCTTGGTTAAACCAGAACATTCTAGTATAAATAGAATGTATCGTTGCAACAAATCATTAATAAGAATAACAGAAAGATCTTCATCTTCTTCGTTTCTTCTTCAAGACTTCACTTGCTATTAAGAGTAGTAAACGAATGATATAAGAGGACAAAATTTTAAAATCTACTTAAGAGACTGAATTAGTTTGAATTTTTTCCACTGTTTTTAGTTTCTTATTTGATTTTTTGATGATAATATTAAAATTAGAAATATCCTAACTTCATATTAAAAATCCATTATTATCATGGATAGCAGGAATGAAGTTGTGAAAAGTACATAGAATAATTAGATAAAAAAGATCCTAAGGACCAAATAATATTAATCATAACAATAACAATACTTCTATACATGCATATACTCTAATTGGAGTATATTTTATTAAATTTTGATATGGTAGGGAAGACTATTTATAAAAGTTATTGGAGAACAAAAACATTTTATAAAAATTAGCTAAAAAAGAAAATGATGAGTAATCTTCTGAATTTAGTGGGCAATCCGACCTAAGGGCATATGCAACGCCAAAACAATTGGTGTGATCTTAGTAATTTAAAATTAAGAAATAATGGGAGCAGTGCCGGCTCTCCCCATGTGCGGGAGTGCTCATGCACAGGGTCCAAAATTTTTTTGTCTTTTTTTTCAACTAAATTTATTAAAATTAGGGTCCAAATTTTTTTTTATATATATACATAAGAAATTAGGGCCAATTGTTTTTTTCAGCTCAGGGTTCTTGATTTTTTTGAGCCGGCCCTGAATGAGAATAGTGCGTTTAGTTCTTGGGTTTAGTTCTTGCTCAAGACCTGTTTTTGGCCCTGTTCTTGGGTTTGAGTCTTATTTTATTTTATTTTATTCTAAGCACACCATTAAGATGATATTCCGATAATTATCGTCTAATAGACAACTCATTGATTTCATCTTACGTCAGTTACAGTTCATCAAATGCGAATTATTTCTTAACTTTTTAAAATAATAGCAATTTCTTTTTCCATTCGGATTATTTGGTTGGTTGTAAATGGGCTTCAGGAGTAGCGCGGGATATAAATGGGCTTGTAGGACATTTGGTGGGCCACAATTCTCAGACGCTTTTTCTTTCTCTCTTCATTTTTTTTGTTGTGTTGACAGCTCTCAAAAAGTAAAAAACTTTTCTTTTCTCAAAAGCTCATTATCATTAGGGTAGAGAGAGGAGTACATAACATGTAAAAAGCTAGTACTAGTATTTAGTATTTCTTTATCACTATCTTGTCAACTAATCAATTTTATCATTTTCTTGATAAGTTATTTACGTGGAAAACAATATATCTTCATACCCCATTTTATTTGGAGGATGTGTACAATGTCGAGACTAGTCGTTGGATCTATTCACATTCGTTGAAGAACGTTAGGTACTGTTATAACTCACAGCCTCTTTCTCACCCAATGTACACTTATACTCAAATGCCTAGTGTTACTCTTATGTTATACAAGAAAAACAAATATACAAGAAAAAGTTTGATCGGTAGTAAATCTCTAGTCTATTTACGGTAACCAGAGAATGGTTGTTACACTATGATCATCAAAATCAAGACCAAAGAGTCACAAGAGATCTAAACCATCGATTCAATTTTGGTCAACGACTCGAACTCTCAACATAAGCAAAACAGTCAGTCGTAATATAAAGACGCACCGTTATATACCAAAACAAAAGAAAAGGCAAAGAGGAACTAATAAACGGACCATGAGCTCCACCCAGACATACGAGCCGTTATTGACTCGACTCCACTCCTATTCTCAGATAACTGAACGGTCTTCGCCGGAGATAGAGGAGTTTCTACGCCGTCATGTATCCACGGTGACGCCACGGTGGTGGCTAAAGCTGGCCGTGTGGGAGTCAAAGCTTCTATGGACACTCTCTGGAGCCTCTATAGTGGTCTCTGTTCTGAATTACATGCTCAGCTTCGTCACCGTCATGTTCACCGGCCATCTCGGTTCTCTTCAGCTCGCCGGCGCTTCCATCGCCACTGTGGGCATCCAAGGTCTAGCTTACGGTATCATGGTACGAACTACGAAGGCACATTTGAGTTCATAGAGCAAAAAACAGAGTGAAAAACACAAAACATTTGCTTACCATTTTCAGTTTGAGTTTCTTGATTTTCTGAATTTTCGGTTTATGAGGAACTATAACCAAAGATCAAACATTATTTTAAGTTTTTTCGCAATTTTTTCTTAATTAAACATGTGATTTGTTTTTTTTTAAAAAAGGTGAAGTCTCTGATTTGTTTATTGTCCACTACATATTTTCATCGGTTTCTCCTTATCGAACATTCTTGAGTTTTAAAACGTTTTGTGAATCAAATTGACTAGTTGGGAATGGCGAGCGCGGTCCAGACAGTGTGTGGTCAAGCGTACGGAGCGAGACAGTACTCGTCAATGGGAATAATCTGCCAACGAGCCATGGTCTTGCACCTTGCAGCTGCATTCCTCCTCTCGTTCCTCTACTGGTACTCGGGTCCAATCCTAAAAGCAATGGGCCAATCCGTAGCCATAGCACACGAGGGTCAGATCTTTGCACGCGGAATGATTCCACAGATTTACGCTTTTGCCCTCGCTTGCCCGATGCAGAGGTTTCTTCAAGCTCAGAACATAGTGAACCCTTTGGCTTACATGTCTTTAGGAGTTTTCTTGCTCCACACGTTACTCACGTGGCTGGTTACCAACGTGCTGGATTTCGGCTTGCTTGGTGCGGCTCTGATTCTCAGTTTCTCATGGTGGCTGCTTGTGGTTGCGAACGGTCTGTATATCGTGATGAGCACGAGTTGTAAGGAGACTTGGACCGGGTTTTCAACTAGGGCATTTACAGGGATATGGCCTTACTTCAAGCTCACGGTAGCTTCAGCAGTCATGCTATGGTAAACACAAAGCTGTTTGATTTGACTATTTAAGTCTCTGGTTTTAGAAAGCTGTTTCCAATTTGGAATGAAATATTCTGCAGTTTGGAGATATGGTACAACCAAGGGCTAGTGATTATCTCTGGTTTACTCACCAATCCGACAATTTCTCTAGACGCGATTTCGATTTGGTATTTCTTCACCGTTACTTATCAAAATACCGATGAATCTCAATGGTTATATCTTGAACCGGTTTAGTCATTTTGCAGCATGTATTACTTGAATTGGGATATGCAGTTCATGCTTGGTCTAAGTGCAGCAATCAGGTATTAACAAAACCAAAAAAGAGCATTCAGTCTTCAGTTGAAATGATCCATTTGGAAACATCATACCTTTTTTATGTTTTTGGTCAGTGTGCGAGTGAGCAATGAGCTAGGAGCGGGAAATCCACGAGTGGCTAAGTTATCAGTAGTGGTGGTTAACGTTACGACGGTTCTCATTAGCCTAGTTCTCTGTGTCATTGTGCTCGTGTTCCGCGTCGGCCTTAGCAAAGCTTTCACGAGCAACGCAGAAGTTATAGCTGCCGTCTCTGACCTCTTTCCTCTTCTCGCCATTTCCATTTTTCTAAACGGAATCCAACCAATTCTCTCAGGTAAAAAACACACACAAAAGAGACCTTTTCGTGAATGCTTGATTGATCTTTGGTCTTTGTGGATTGATAACTTTTGTTGAATTGGTAAAAAGGGGTTGCTATTGGGAGTGGGTGGCAAGCAGTGGTGGCCTATGTGAATCTTGTTACTTACTATGTCATTGGTCTTCCTATTGGCTGTGTTCTTGGCTTCAAAACTAGTCTTGGAGTTGCTGTATAATCTCTCTCTCTCTCTCTCTCTTTCTCTTTCTTTGTATTTATATGTTTTGTATCATACAAAATTTGGGAGGTTTTTCTTTACAGGGGATCTGGTGGGGGATGATTGCAGGAGTCATACTTCAAACCCTAACTTTGATTGTTCTTACACTTAGAACCAATTGGACTTCCGAGGTAAAACAGTGACAAACCTCTCTCCCTCTCTCTCTGTCTTTCTCTAGTCCAAAGTTTTTACCTTTGTTCTGCATCTGTTGCAGGTAGAAAATGCAGCTCAGAGAGTAAAGACCTCGGCAACTGAGAATCAAGAGATGGCTTACGAAGGCATTTAAGAGAACAGCAACAGCGACTGTTTTTTTTCTCTCTTTTGGTGGCAAGAGATATAATATGAAATAAGTATCCTTTTGATTCTTTAAGTTATTTCATGATTCAGAAAATATAACATTTTGTTAACTACAGACAAAAATAATGGACGACCTACTTAGTCCTCTTCTGCAAAATCTTATCTTGTGGCCTTAGATGATTACAAAAATAAAATTTTCCGCAGTTTTCATAACCCCACAAGTTCTTCCGTCGGTAAGCTACCATAACCCAAAGACCCTTCTTGTGGTTTATCGTACAAGACAGTTTCTCTTGCATCATCATCATCTCCATCATCCTCATCCTCATCATCACTAGATTCACTACTTATATCTTCCTCCTCTTCATCATCATCAGATCCATAAACTCTAGCAACAATGGTTGCTGTCTCATTTCTGAGACCAGTAAGTTCCTTAGCTTCGTCTAGCTCATCTTGAGTTGAATACAATGATAATAGCACATTCTTAGCTTTCTGATCAGGTGGTACCCCACAACTCTCCATCTCTTTATACCAACCAAGAGCGCTCCCAAAATCCTTGCACCTCCCAGACGCATCCATGATAGTTGTTAAGATGGTTTGATTCGCTTTGATGCCACTTAACCTCATTTTCTCATATACCTCCATCATCTTCTCAACATCGTTCGCTTTCGCATACCCTTTTATCATTGTCCCGTAGGTGACTATATTCGGTTCAAATCCGTCTACTTTTATCCTCTTGAAGAATTTCTCAGCACCCTCCATGTCAGAGGCATTCACATATGCTGATAACATAGTTGTGTAAGACCAGAGATCCGGGAAAATTCTGCAAGGGAAACATGTTAATTGCTTATCAATTTTCAATTAAGTAAACAAGATGGAAGTATTGTTTACCTGTCCCGCCGCATGCTCTTAAAGACAGTCTTTGCTTGCTCCACCATCCCAGAAATAGCAAATGCATCAAGCAAAATGTTATAAGCTTTATGTGTCGGCCTGAAAACGATAAAAGACAAATAATATATCCGAAAGAGAGGTCTGCTTTGTAACCTCATTAGCAATAGCAGCAAAAGAATAGTTGTTGGAAACCAAAAAACTGACCTTACACCAGCATCAAGCATCTCTTCAAAAACAGATAGAGCTTCTTCCTCTCTTCTGGCTCTTCCATATGCTTTGATAAGTAAAGCATAACTTACAACGTCCGGTTGAATACCAGATCTTTGCATCTGAAAAGTTAAACATTCAGTTAAAAGGGTTAGATCACTACTATTACAGGCCAATAAATACTTAAAAGAAGGGATCATTCAAATCACCTGGTCATAGATCTTAGAAACTTCTTTATAATTAGTTTCGAAAGACATAAGGCTATTGTAAGTGACGGTAGACTGGGGAACTCCTTTCCCAACCATAGAAGAAAATACTTTTCGAGCCTTATCATAGTTTCCAGCCTTCTTGTACATGTATATCATCATGTGATACATTTTTTGATCAGGCTTCAATGGCGATTTCTTCTCATCTAAAAGAGTCTCAAAAACCTCTTCAGCTTCTTTAAATTTGTCCCCCTCTACAAAAGTCTTAAGTATAATCTGATAAGTTACAGCAGAAGGCTCTGGGCCTGAAGACTGCATCCTCCGAAATATCGCTTCAGCATTGTTGCACTTGCCTCCTCTCCCATAAGATTCCATGAGAGCGGTATAAGAAATCACGTTTGGACTCGAGCCCATCTTACTCAATACACTCAAAACCCTTTCAGCTCCGTTGAAGTTTCCTAGTTTCCCATAAGCTGTAATGAGCATCAAAAAGTCCATTTCACTGAAGTTCCACCAGTTCTGGTATCTAAGCCATTCAAGAATCTGGAAATCAAAAGAAAGAAAGGAACCAAATATCAGATACAACCTGAAAACTTTCCCATTAAAACTAAGAGCTTGCAACTGCCAATATTCAAACATTGCGGAGAGTATTCACAGTTTCTGTCATGCCGTAAGAGAAATTCTTCAGGTATAAATAACAAACAGACACAGCTTTTGGCAGCACCACTATTGAAATACTCAACAGTCGATTAAGATGACTCATCTAATATCTCTATCAAGATCCAAGACCAACTTCATGAATTTCGTTCAACCAATCTAACATGAGATATACATAAACCAATTCTTTCAGATTCTAACTTGTATCTAAAAGGCTCAAAACATAGAAGGGAGTCATTCAGTCTCCATACCTCACTGACAAGGTTCCATTTCTTAAGCTGCTTAAATCTAACCAAAGTACCCAAAACAAGATCCCTGGGAAGACCTTGGTCACCGTCAGTTCTGTATTGCCTAAGCACCGGAACTGCAGAACCCGTTGATTCAATCTCTAGCATTAGCCCTCTCCATCTCTTCTGATCCGTCTCGTCAGCTGCATCCTTAAAAACCTCAATTTTCCTCCTCTTTTGCAGGAATTTCCTTGGAGCCAGCATTCCCATACAAACAACTCTGAATCGGTTTTGGATTTTAACACCAACATTGATAATATTGTTATGTAGTTTCCTCTGGCTGACAAAGCAAAACACACAGACGAATTTGTAAATGAAAAACTAAAACTTTTATTAGCCTAAACGAAAAGAACATAAACCCTAACAGTGGCTATCCTCAAATGATAAACCCATTTAGACACAGCTACCGCTTACACAATCAATTGAATTAGACCAAACCCAACACAGGATTTTTTGCAGAAATTCCGAAAGGCGGCCCCTTTATGCATATAATTATCCAACCCGTCAATGGAAAACGAAAGGAAAATTCTAGAACAAAAGCAAGTCCAAAATGAAAGCTGTTCCAAAAGGTAACAGGAGTAAAAAGTAGAATGGAAACCTGTGATTACTTGTTGGAACTGAGACAAACGGCTTGAAAATTACAGCCTGTGACATCTAAAGTTCGCAGCTTCTTCTCTGTCGCAGCAGACAAGAGGAAGAAGAAGAAGAAGAAGAAAGCTACTCTTCTCTTATCCTTTAAAAGTTAAAACTTCAAAGTGGATATTTTTTTAACTTTTGTTTATAAACATTTATAACCTCAAAATTTAATTCAGTAATTAGACACAAAAATGGAGGCGGGGTTTCATGGGGTAATTGACAATGATGCCCCTATGAGCACCTGCTATTTATTTACACGGCCCTACGCATGTTCAATATTTTGCTCATGTGCAGAACAAAGATGAAGAAAGAAGACTCGTGAAGTCTCGAATTGTGTAAGGTAATGAACTAATAATGATTGTATGAAACAGATTTGTAGAGTCAGAAGAAAGATGATATTTTGTCTTTGAGTTTTATGGGTCCTTTAAGGAAATAATACCAAATATTTTCACGTTATTTTGGATTGCACCAAAAAAAAGTTTGCATCTGAAATTTGGTAATCTATCTTACTGGATGGATTTGTGAGGAAAGAAAAGGAATTTGACCACAATCAATGGTGTGATTTTAGTTGTAAGAAGAAGAAATCTTTATTTGAAGTTTGCGTTTGGCATTAATACTTAAACATAGTTCTTGGATCAGATGGATTACATACTCCACATTGCACATTTGACTTCGACTAAAGATCTGAATCAGATTTGAAGGAAATCAGAGTGTGGCATTGAGAGTTCCAACTAGTGATACTTTATAAACTTTTAAAGTCATGAAATCATAAATAGTCAAATCAAATCTAACATATGGAGACGAAAAAACAAAACCTGAGGTTCAAATTACATACGGGAGATCAGAAGAGGGACAGAAGCAGGAGCTTCCTCTTCCATCTCATGTTCAAGCTCTCCATAGCGCTCAAGCACACGCATCCTGCAGTCTTCAGCTGCCAGCACTCCGGTTGAATAAGCACCGTGCACTGACCCTGGGTAGCTCGAGCTAGTGGCTTCCCCCGCAAAGAATAGATTATCCAATGGCACTCTCAGTCTCTCATAGAGGTCGTGAGGTTTGTTCACAATGTCATAGCTATATGATCCCAATGAATTGATGTCTGATCCCCACCTTGATACCAAATAATTTATCTGCCAACAAAACCCATTAGAGCTTGTACACTGGCAAAGCAAAATATATAGATATATAGATTAGAGCAGTACCGGTGAAGATGCATCTGGAAGAATTTTCTGGAGTTGCGAAAAGGCAAAATTTGCAGCTGATTCATCAGACTTTTTCTCTATGTCTCTAGCGAGCTGACCAGCCGGCATGTAAACAAGGACAGGATGGCTTGTGGCTTTATGCAGGTTCAAGAAATAACTGCATCCGTAGGAAGTTTCTGCAACCACTCCTAGAAACTCTACGTTTGGCCAAAAGACATTGTCAAAGTGCAGTATGATCTTGTTCTCGATTCCTACACCGAGATCGTTGATAGCTTCTTGTTTCCACTGTGGAAGCTTTGGTTCGAATGTTATCATTCCTGACTTTAGGACTCCAAGAGGAAGAGCAATGACTGCAGCATCCGCAACAAACGTGTCTCCTTTCTCTGTAGTCACCTTCACTCCACTATAGCGCCTTACAATCTTGGTAACCCTGACAAAACAAAAGGCCATAATAAGGTTTACCTGAAGACTCGTTAAATGATGGAAACTCCTTTGACAAATGAAACGTACCTGTGGCTTAGTCGTATATCAAGACCTTTCGAGAGAGTGTTGATTACAGGGCGATACCCTCTAACCATAAGACCATGTCCACCAGGCAATAGTTCTTCCTGCGAATGTTTCAATTAATAAATCAATAAACTGGAACCTACCTCAACCACTAATCCGAAGACAGACACAAATTTAGTAACAAACCTGGTCCCAACACTTAGCCGAGATGGTTTCAGCATCAGCAGCAAACCATCCTTCCATGCGGCACAAGTACCACTGAAGCACATTGTGAGCAAGCCCCTCCAACCTAGAGTGAAAAATCCAATTAAGTATGCAACAAATGTGAAAGTGGATAAGTAACAAAATCAAAGTATTGAGTTGAGACAATATGTTTTCGTACCTCAATTCAGGGTTCCTCTTGAATACAATAGAAAAGGCTTGAGCTATTGACATGTCTTCGTCCTGCTCATCCCTAACTTTAGAGATCTGCAATTGTGAAACAACTATCTTTATAAATCAAAGACACGCAACATCGATAAAACAGAAAAAGAAAGAAACTGGACACCAAGTACACACCTCTTCCAGAATGTGCTCAAAATTTTCGCCAACTTTTGTAACCAACTCTTGAGGAACTTGGTTGCCAGCCTTATCGAATAGAGCATAGCTGCAGGAAACAGAATTGCACATGAGTCTCCAACAAAGAGAGAAGATTAGTTAAGATTTACATTTGGAGTATCCAAAACTGTTGTACAGACCTCTCAAGATCGTGATCATACAAAACCGAATTGTCACCACTAGTACGATAAAGGGGTAATCCTAATCTACCAATTACTGCAGCCAAAGGATTCTCTTTACAGACACCATGCAACCTGTAACAAAACGTTATTGCTTAGTTAGCATCGATGCAAAAGATCCAAACATCAATCAATGAGAAAGAAAGATTGAAGGAGCCATGATATTACCAAGATGCACCAAGATCAACTGGAAAACCGAATGAGTAATCGGTGTGGACTCGTCCACCAATTCTATCACGAGACTCCAATACCACAACCTGAAAAAAGCAAGAACGCACAAGTAATAAGACCCTGCACTTAAATCATAACATTTGTAATCTTAAGATTGCATTACTCGTGTTACAGACCTGAAAGGAAGCATCTTGAAGAGTGCGAGCAGCTGAAATTCCAGCCATACCACCTCCAATCACTATCACTGAAGGTGATCTCTTCTTCTTCATCTTCTCGTCTGTTGAGACACAAATAGCTGAAACAACAACAACATATGAAACAGTTCAGGGCACAACAGAAAAATAATATCGTAACAAGGGCACAACAAACTGAGAGAGGGCAACAAAACAAACTCGGATTCATGTAATAAAATTGAATAACTAATATTAAAAGAAAAAAAAAAACCTAAATTCATTATCAGATAAAGGATTAAGATTTCAAAGAACCAAAAATCATACGAAGTTAAGATGATACCTTTACGCAGCTGACGATTAGTTTTGCCTCCGGACTCCATGATTCAACAATGATCAGACTAATTACTCACGGGATTATTAAAATTAGTATTATTATTATAATTCAGCGATAAAGGATCTAACGATTTCTGCTCAAAAAGAAAGAGCGAAATCGGCAATTGAGGAGAAAAACTAAGAATTGAAATCAGAAGACACGTATTAGTGAAGTAGCTTGAAATCGATGAATTAAAACCTAGTTTTCCAAAAAAATTCATGCGATTTTCTCTTATCAGTTTCTTCCACAGAGATCAACGAAGATCAGATTCGAATGCGTAATCTGAAGCAAACAATGAGGAACAAATCGAATTATCAAAGAGCGATAGAAAGAGAGAGGCTCAGGAGTCGCAGCTTTTTCTATTAATAATCGTATTGGTTTGAGACTGCTGATGTGTACGATAGTTATTGGTTGCCTTAATTAATCATATTTTATACGCTTTTATTTTCTACAACAAAAAATAGAACCTACGCGCTCGAGTATGTAATTGGAATATACTCGCTCCAGTTATAAGACACGTGTCACTTTAGAAAGACAGAATCGGTAACTAGAAATCGAGTTAGATTAGGACATTAGGTAGGTATGGGACTCGTTACGTACGAATCGTGGTGGAGTAAATCACGTTAGCGTTTTCCGTTTTTTCCCTTCTTATTAACGTATGCGTTTTGAGCATTAATATGGCCTTATTATGTTCATAGACCTAAAAAGCCCATGATAATGTCAAATTCAGGCCCAGTTTATCCTTTTGCTACTGTTTTTTCTGAACCCTTTGAGTTGAGAACATATCAATATTGATACAAAATATAAAAATATTGATACATTTATCTTTAGGTACTCAACACTTGATTGATATAATTTAACTGTTTAATATAAGTTATAAGTATAAGACTACCTTATTAGATCTATATAATACACTTGTTTAAGTTTCATGCTTAGGCGACCAAAAATAATAAAAATCATTGTCTAGTAAGAATAATCCCGGAGGAAAATTATATGCCACGTCAGGCTATTTTACCCATATGAAGACTGTCGGTGGTCGCCGGTGCCGACAGTTGACTTTGCGGTCCCGCCGGAGATCCAAATCCCAACATGTCTGCTGGCGGTTGCACGGCCTGCATTAATTTAAACATGACACGTCAGATATTAAATAAAATATATTTATCTTTCCTCGTTTTGGAACTGACCTGATTCGCCGCCAGCGACATCTGGGGAAACCCGCCCATGTACCTAGCGAGCTGCTCCGATAAGATTTGGTTCTGTGTTTGGAGCTGAAACTGTACCGGGGTTTGGCATACTAAACCGGGATGATTCTGTGGAGCGGACCGGTTCATAACCGGGAATTGAGGCAATTGCATCTGACTTTGCATAGCCATCTGATTAATGTATGGAGATGATTGTACGCCGGGAAACATCATCGGAGTAGTTGCTGCTGCAGCCGCTGCGGCCATTCCACTTCCCATCCACATCACTTGGAGTTGCATTTGAAGTGATTTCAAGTAATCAATTGCTTCATCCAATATCGAAGCTTTATCTGTCTACACACAAAAAAAAAAAAGACAAAACATAACCAAACACACAATTAATCATTCTCTATTAGAACTTAGAAGAATCAGTTTCAGCTTAATTAACTCAGTTTTTTTTGTGATGAAAAAAACTTACTTTGCTGCAGTGAGGTATGAGTTCTTGAAGAGCTTTCATTCTTTCATTGATCCGGTCTCTCCTCCTCTATAATAAACAAAGATCAGACAACCATGTATCAGAATTAGACTTCAGAGTTATGCAAATTTATTATAACTGAATTGTTGATCAAGTAGTTAGAAAGAGCATATGTATACCCTTTCTGAGAGATTATGAACTTCAGCTGCACGGCTTCTTCGAGTAGATCCTGACCGTTGGCTCGATTTGTTACCCATGGCTTGATCATCGGTTGAGGTCAAACCTATATCTGATTGAGACACAGATTCCTGATCAGCATCCATTACATGTTTTCTTTTACGGTCAATGGTTACGCTTCTTCCACTAACGGTTTCTTTGTTGTTCTTTCCGTAGCTGCAACCGGAGGAGCCACCTGACGAAGTGTCAAGTCTTTCTTCGACGTTCTTGCTTCTATCACTCATAGAAACCGGAAGTGTAGTAACTTGATGAATATTGGTAGACTGGTTGCTACCGCAATGGCTTGGTCCGTCTTTTATAACAGAGGATCGGAACTTAGGAGGAGCCATGGCTTGAGCCTCATGCTTAACTGTCTCTTCGATCGTTCGTGGTTTCTCTGGACCGTGGACGTGATCGATCGAAGAGAAGAAATGAGAGGAGAGCTCGGATTCAAAAGGGTCGATGACGTCATCGGGAGGGTAATTGATCCAGGAGACGGTTTCTTGATCTTGAAGAACAGAGTTGCTAGGCTTTTGTACTGTTTCTTGGTTGTCAAGAAAAATGTTGTTGGGTTTTCTTAGGGATTCTTGTTTGTGGGTTTGAACTGACGGTTCTCTACGAGCTTGGCTTTGTAAAACCACTTGACCATCTCTCCACAGTAGCTCCACTAGGTCATCTTCTGGTCTGTCCCAATATATGGATGTTTACATAACATATTCAAATAAACAATTCCTAAATAGATATGATTAAGATGTGAAATTGATATATAATTATGAAATACCTGACTTGGAATATTATATATACCTGGTTGATCTTTTATTAGTGGACATGTGAAAATTATCTTCAAAATTCCAATCAGCAAACACTTGTTCCATGTCAGATCTGTAAAGACACCCAAATAAGAATATATTACTTTTTTTTTGTAAGCGAATAAGAAACGATTTGATTTATAATTAGTATAATGATTAACAGGAGCTTTGAGCAAAAAGGGATGATGAAAGCAATCAACGTAGAAAGGATTGTTCCAAATCCCAACAGTTTAATCATTAGAAAATAATTAAAGCAAACAACCCTCTCTCCAGCAATCTAGGAGGAAATGATTTAATAAGGCAACTAATTCTATATATAGTAAATTCTTACTAACTCAAAGATATAAAAGTAGTTACCAGATTTAGAAGCCTCTGAATGAATGGAAGATATAGCTATATCAATTTTTCTTTTTTTGCTTCACACGTAACAAAATCTAGCAAGGAGAGACAAAAGAAGAACAAAAGATTCTATCTCTCAAACCTTCTCGGTTTTATCTATCATCTAGATAGGGAAATTGTACAGAGAAAGTAAAGTTGAAACAGAACAGAGAACACAGAGAGAGAGAAAGAAGAAAGAGAGGCTAAGGTTCTTCTTGCCAGGTTCAGACAGAAAGGGACAAGAGCTAGGAGGAAGCAGAGAGATTATTACAGCAAGCAAGCGAAGCGAGTGAGCGAGGGGGAGATAATGATTCGGTGGGGGCAATAGTACTGAAACTGATCAGGATGTTCGACACGTGGCGAATTGTCAGGCAACTAGTTAAAGAGTTAGTGAGACCCACCAACTCGGTTGGATTTGTCTGAGAGAGAGAGAGATCTATTGCTCGATTTCTAGAGGTGGTTTCTGATCTGTACCTTATCTGCAACACTCTTGAGAGTCTTGACCAATGATTAAGGGCGTTTTTGTCAAATCATACGCCCCTCTTATGTATGTTTCTCTTTCAGCGAATAGTATCTCAAAAATGGTAAACAAAAATACAAATTGAAGTTCTCTATTTTCTACGATGCTTTGATGAGTTTATATCATCATCTACTAAATGAATATATGAACCGTTTTATCATTATCTGAATTCAATTTCTTGTCAGAGTCTCATTAAAACCCGAGCGTAAATTATCTTGAGAAGTCATCATTTTTTCCCCCGGCAAATTCCACATCGCATTTATGTCACATGTTGACTAGTTATAGCTAAGATCGTAAGTTTTTCGTGTTAATATAAATCTCCAACCGACTGCAAGTCCATAAATCTACATTTTTTTGTTGATTGTGAATTTGGAAGTTATTAAAACCTGATTACTAAAAAGCAATAAAACAACTAATCACAAAAATTTGGATATTAAACAACAGTTTTGAGCCTAAATATGCAATCACAATGTCGTAATGCTAAACCGTGCGTGGACCGTTGTGAGACTTGTTGTCATGGACCACAAACAAACAATGGTCCACCAAAATTATGCTCACATTAATTTCCGAATCCTTATCACAATAATTTAATACTAGTAGTAAATCAATTTCTAACCCTTATCACATCAATCTTATCGTTTAATGTGCATAACCCCTACCGATCGATCTAATGATAGACGACATATTAGTAATGATAGACTGTAGAAAAGATTACATTGCAAGTTACAAGTTGACAGACATATATAGTGGGGGCATTGTGAAACAAAGCATCCACCGAAAGGAGACATTTTCCTTAAAAGTCTCTGGCCCTCATTTGCTTTGTCCACGAAAGAGACGAGTTTGTAATAGCGTCCGTTCAAAGCTATAGAAGGCCATGAGCCAAGTAACTCAGTTTTTGTTTCCAGCCATATAAAATAGTATATTTTAAGATATTCATATTTAAATATCAGTAGTTTAGTGAAAATTGATGAATTTGAAACCTTTTTTTCCGTATGAAAGTTTTTTTTTTTTTTTTTTTTTGGTGTTTGATAATTATTTTGTATGCAATTTGAGAGTTGGATGAACTAGGTTGATAGATGGATTCGTTCGTCGTGGACGATACTTGTAAAAGAAACGTAGTTATCCCAATCAAGTAAAGATGAACACGGTTACATAGATGCCAGCTATAATCCATAAAACCCCAAAACCGATACCATATTTATTTTCTTTTTTTTTTTCTTACTTAAAAAATTGCATTTGACTCAAATTATGCCGTTGTATTTGAATTTATAACTCATGTCGACATATAAGTCGTCGCCTAGTTGGATAATTAATTTCATCTGCTAACCGATATATGAATGAAAGCTATGAATACATTAGATTTCGTCGAAGTAAGGAACGAATCTTCTATCAACATCAATTAAGGAACCATATACAGTATTAGATATTTATGAGTATAGACATATTCGTAGGATGAAGGATAGCATCACATTAATGAAAAATAAAGCCTCGGGATAAAATTGAATTTATCAGAAAAAGCCCCAAAATATTTTTTAATTCATGTGGTCTATAGAGATGCGTTATTGGGCCTCTCCGTTCGGCCCATTTCAGTCCTAAAATATCAGAAAAGGGCCAAACAAAACCCTAACTCTATAAGAGACCGTTCTGAAACCTTCAGGCGGCGGTGGCGGCTATGCAAGAAGACGGGTTAGCGGCGGAGGGTGGTAGGGATGAAAGGCTAGAAGCGGCGGAGAAGTATGTGGAGAAAAAACAACAAAAACTGAGGGGATCATGAAGTTCTTCGTTAAATTATAGTTTTCAATCTGAATTTCAAATCCGCCGCTCGCTTTTTCCCTTCCGCCTTTTCCGTCTCTCCTATCTACTCCGCCGCCGACCTTGTGATGATTACAGATCTGAAGGTCCATACTAGATTATTCAAATATAACTTCTGCTGGAAAAGAAATTTCGAAACTTCTTAGATCAAGATTTCAAAATATTTATTTTCTTATTTTCAGTTTACTTAAATCTTGCAAAAGAACAGAATTCACGAATTTATAAAACCATTTGTTAGCTTAATGGAAACCCTAAATTTCAAAGTCTTTTTTAGTGTGGAAATTACCAAAGCTAAAAAAAAAAAGTTTGGTATCTTTGAAATTTGCAAAGATCAGACACTAAATTTTGAATAATATCTAGTCCACCTAAGTACATTAAAGTTTTATCACATCTACAGAAAATTTGTGAAGAGTATATTACCAGCAGTGTAACATGGGACGGCCATTGCACAAGTTCAAGAACAAAAGAATTAATAATAGTATCTTATTCAATCACAAAATCTTGTTGAATTATTGAATAAAAGAATTTCTATTAATCATAAGTAATTCGTATTTTACAAGTAAAAATTAAGAAAGAATTGTACAGAAGGAATACGAATGTTAATAAATAACTAAGAAAACCTTAAAATCCCCAAAAAGCAAAAGAACCAAAGTCTAGACCACATCAACGGAGGCAGTTTGATGATCAGCTTCTAGGTTTTTGGTTTTCTTGCAAAACAATCCAGCCCATCTCTTCTTAAACTGTAAAATTTCCATCACAATGGCAAACGCTGCAATGCAACAGATTATGGTAGTGTAGGCAATCTTCCAGCCGCTTCCGGGTTGTAAAATTGACAAGCCTTTGTAGATATTGTAGATGCTTAGTACAATCACTATGTATCCTACCGTGTGATGATACCAGTTCCAATATTTTCTGTATTTATGATCCTTGTCCGGTCTTGCTTTGAGCGCAAGTATCTGCAAAAACCCTAAAGCAAATAGAAGCAATCCTATCACGGTATGCAATGTAGTCCTCATCCCGGTATGTCTCGCCATGTAGATTGTTGTTCCTAATCCTCCGATCAAACCGACGAAATAACCCATGGTTTGACACACTACGTGTACATAGAACCATGTGGGGTCTAATACCTCGTAGTTTTTCATATATCTTGCAGCCATAACTCCAATAGGCATGAAAATTCCCCAACTTACTGTATTCACTATTCCATGGATTCGCTTTACCAACAACATGTTTCTGTTAACTGATTTTGTGGTTGTCACTTGTCCGGAAAGCAAATCCAAAGAAGCCATGGATTTGAGATGATCTCCACTCATTGCGTGCATTCCAAGTCTACCTCCTTCCTTCAACGGACCGTCTTGCCATAAGTGATTAACGACGGTTGTGTTAGGAGGCAAGACTAAAGTTGCAAATATCATCATCTCTCCATTAAAATACTCGGCGGATACTTGCATTACACGAAAGCTAAGAGGAGATTCTTGAAGCATAGGAGAGTAGCTATTAATGGAGGAAGTATAAGCACGCATAACACTAGAAGTTGAGTTTCGATAAGCCACAAGTGCTTGAGCTCCCAACATGCCTTTACTCGTCGGGTTTATAGCCCACGCGATCCAACTAGAAGACTCAAGATTGGAGTGACGGTAGGCAATTTCAAGAACTCCGGTTTCTTGAGCATAATTAAAGTGTAGATAAGAGTTTAGCACCGGAAGATCCGTGCACGAGCGAAAGCTTTTTCCGTTGTTGAAGCTGTAAGATTCACATCTAGCATGAAGTCCTTGTTCTGTTGTTGCTGTCGTAAAAGATGGAATCAACACGAACAGACAACACAAAACGACTAACGTGGCTCTCGAAGACAAAGACATGATGATAATTATGATTGTGGCTTTTCTCGGAGAACACTAGGGTTTACGATTTTGGAAGAAGAGATTATGATTTTTTTAGTGCTAGAAGCTTGAGTAGTTTCGCATATTTATAGCGAGTTACATTCAATTCCTATTCCTAGTGTCGTTAGGACTTAGGACTATGTTTTTTTTTTTTTTTTGATAATTAATAATAATTGGATATAATTGTTTCCTTATTTTGGCACTTAAGTTTCCATATATTAATTAATCCAAAAATAAACTTTTCACATCTTTACTATTTCTAATACCATCTCTTTCAGATTTGGAAATTTATAAGGAAATTATCGAAAAAATCTAATCAATTACATTTGTATTTCTTTTCTAAAACATGTGATTAAAATAATTTATAAAAGAAACTGACATTTTCTAAATTATTAAAATTAAATTTCCATAAGATAATCATATATGTTTTAAAAATAAATAAAACAATAGTCTCTTCAAATCAAAATTACCTATCCAATTTAATAAATGAAAGTATTTATAGATTTCAAAAAGTTTGTAGGTTACGTAAGTGCATTATGCATAGGACACGATAATATACACACAGAGGTTAGTTACTGTATACTATTTTTTTTTTTTTTGGCTCATCACGGCAATCTGCTTGCCACAAAAAAGTCAAAAACAAATAATTTTGTTTTGCTTTACTTTTTGTTTGTGTTTACTTGGAATAGTGTCGCAATGGAAAAGTATTAACCTGTTTTCCCGGTCAACTTCTAACGTTATACGTTTCGGGGTGACAAAAAAAAAAGCCTTAATATGTTTTCCAGGGTGTTGAATTAATTAAATGATTGTAATTCAGACCAAGGTTTAGATTATTACTAAAAAAAAAAAAAAAAAAAAAAAAAAAAAAACCTTAATATGGTTGGTCTTTAGTCAAACAGCTTAAAAGAAAACGTAAGGACTCGTTCCTTTACCGTCAAATATACAAAACTCTTCTTATTTTAAAATTGATCTCAAATTGAAAAGTATGGTTTTATAATCGGTCAACTTTAACGACTCTAGTAATTAGTTAATAATACACATTAAGGTGTTATTTATTGGGGATTATATTGGCATGGGTCCATTTTCATAATGCGTTCTTTGAATCTTATAGTATTGTATTAATTGTGACGATGTCTACTTTATCCTAGCATGCGTCTATTAAAGGTGATCGAAGTTTTATTGGTTAAAGACTTTTTTTCAAAGATCTCATTCTTTGGTTTGGAGGTCAAACTACTATATTTTTCTCTTTTTTTTTTTGTGCAAATATTTTTCTCATATTTCTTTATCAATAGATTAAAGCGTAGATACCACTTAAATGTTCGCTATTTGGTCTAATAGTTAAAGAATCCCAATCAAATTCTGTTTTTGTTATGCAGTTTAATTGATGATGACAAATTATAATGTTATAGTTTTTTTCTTTTCCAATCATTTTACTACGACTGAATTTTGTTTGTCTTTTAGAGATTAAATGTTGACAAAGAAAGATCAAAACGTTTTTGAACAAAAAAAGGAGACGAAGAAAGATTAAACCTTTACCGCAAAATGATCACGTTTGCTTACAATCGCACCAAACAGAAAAATTCACCAACCACATTTGTATCTATATAAATATAATCTCATTGACCGTAGCATTTAAGCCACAATAATTCAAAGTTACATAATGTTCTCAAAATTTAATTTCATGAACTTGAATATTATGCAAAAATTAAAATCTACATTTCATATAGAAGACCACAAATCCAAATATGCATTAGATAGATCTATTATTATTATTTTTATTTTTTTGGTCACAAGAGATCTTTTCTTTTATAGTTTTTCTGCCACTACCAAAATTTTCATTGATCTAACTTACAAAACTATATCGTAATTGTCTTAATTATTAACTATTTACATTAATGTTGTTATTGTTATTCAACCTAATTCTTGTTCTCTTTATTCCTTAAAAATATGATGATAAAAATCAAGGGGTTTTAAGACAGAAGAAACGGTAAAAGAAACGAAGTGGATATGAAACCGCGTGAAGAAGAAGATGACTTTAGTCAACAAATATCAACTTATATTTTATTTTCCTCTTTTTCAGTAATCTGACTTCACCAAGATCTCTACTCTGTTCTTTCCTCTTCTTCTTCTTCCTCTCTCTAAGCTTAATTTTCCTCTATTCCTCCAAAATCAAAATCTGCTACAATCGAAACTAATAAAAGCTCAACTTCTGCTTCTGTCACTTTTTATTCCCGGCGACTCCAAGCTTAATCGTCGCCGGCGATTTTTTGTTCTCAAGCATTTATTATCCTAATGTTTTCCAAGTACAGTTTCATTCTTTGTCTTATTTTCTTCTTCGTCACAGCATTTTCCGGCGACTCCAGAGCTCTTGCTGGAAACAATGAGCAGAAGAAGAACATCTCTGGCTTTTCTGGGATTGACTTTCCTAATCCGATGCGTTTCGGTTCTGTTTCTTCTTCCTCAAGCAACGATTGCGGCTTCTCTTCCTCTGAGAACGAACCAACCATGGAACGGACCGGAGAAAACAAGACGGTGAAGTTTCACTTAAAGCGCCGGGAGTCTACGACTACGAAGCACAAAACAGAGAAGACAACAACAAATTCAGTTCTTGAGCTTCAAATCCGAGATCTCACGAGAATTCAGACGCTTCACAAAAGGGTTTTGGCGAAGAAGAACCAAAACACTGTTTCGCAGAAGCAGAAGAAGAAGAATAAAGAAGTCGTTACCACTCCGGTGGCTTCTTCCGTGGAGGAGCAGGCTGGTCAATTGGTGGCAACGCTTGAGTCTGGTATGACTCTCGGTTCTGGCGAGTACTTCATGGACGTGTTGGTTGGTTCGCCACCAAAACACTTCTCCTTGATTCTTGATACAGGGAGTGACCTAAACTGGATTCAATGCTTGCCTTGCCACGACTGTTTCCAGCAAAACGGTGCGTTTTATGATCCTAAAGCCTCTGCTTCTTACAAGAACATAACTTGCAATGACCCAAGATGCAACCTGGTCTCACCACCTGACCCTCCAAAGCCCTGCAAATCAGATAACCAATCATGCCCTTACTACTATTGGTATGGGGATAGCTCCAACACTACCGGAGATTTTGCAGTCGAGACTTTCACGGTTAATCTCACTACAAGTGGAGGGAGCTCGGAGTTGTATAATGTCGAAAACATGATGTTCGGTTGTGGTCATTGGAACCGAGGTCTCTTCCATGGTGCTGCAGGCTTGCTTGGGTTAGGAAGAGGCCCGCTTTCGTTTTCCTCTCAGCTTCAGTCTCTTTATGGTCATTCCTTCTCATATTGCCTTGTTGATAGAAATAGCGATACCAATGTTAGTAGCAAATTGATTTTTGGGGAAGACAAGGATTTGTTGAGCCATCCGAATCTGAACTTCACTTCTTTCGTAGCCAGGAAAGAAAACCTCGTCGACACATTTTACTACGTACAGATCAAATCCATTATAGTCGCGGGAGAAGTTCTAAACATACCTGAAGAAACATGGAATATCTCATCAGATGGCGCTGGAGGGACAATCATTGATTCAGGTACAACCTTAAGTTATTTCGCGGAACCTGCATATGAATTCATCAAGAACAAGATAGCAGAGAAAGCGAAAGGGAAGTACCCGGTTTATAGAGATTTCCCAATCCTAGATCCTTGTTTCAACGTCTCTGGCATCGATAGCATTCAGCTGCCAGAGCTTGGGATTGCTTTTGCAGATGGCGCGGTTTGGAACTTCCCGACCGAGAATTCTTTCATATGGTTGAATGAGGATTTGGTTTGCTTGGCAATTCTTGGAACTCCCAAATCAGCCTTTTCAATCATTGGAAATTACCAGCAGCAGAATTTTCATATACTATATGATACAAAGAGGTCCAGGCTCGGGTATGCACCTACAAAGTGTGCAGATATATAACCTTTCTTGTCAATTATACATATTTTAAGTCCATCAAAGCAACTGTACACACAATAAGAACAGATTCATTTTTTTTTCCCTTTAGATTTTTTCATTCTTTAGGATATTCCTTTAAACATGTATTGAACTAAGATCATACCAAACTAATGTACTTATTCAAACTTCATTTCTAAATACAAAGTTGAGTTAATTTTGCTTGCTAACTGCATTTTCTCAAACTCTATAGTTTAACATCAATGACAATTGAATTTGTAATCTCTGCAATTGCCAAAGTTTGATAGTAATCCCTGAATAGTTTGTCAAGTTAAAAGGCAAGGGAATTGTCAAATCATCGCCTTTATTGATCCAATGTGAAAGAAATCCAAAAGTCTAGAGGAATTGGAAACTAAGGAAGCTTAAGGATAAGGCAGAACACAAACCGTACAAAAGAAATCGGATTATGTACCTGAGAAAGGTCGGAGTCTCGGAGAAGAGAGTTGCAGAAAGAGGTGTCTCTGTTTTACATCGACGCGAAGAAGAAGAAGAAGGGTTTGATAATTGGGTGAAGACGGAAAGAAAACTCAATGCCATTGATTTTCACAGCAAATCAAGCTTAACATATGATTTTTGACTTCAAAAAAAAAAATTAGACAATTATTTTTCTAGTTAATTCGTTTTAGTCACTTCATTTTCCACTTCTCACAATAATTAATAACTTCATTTTCTAGTTAAATCTTAATTAAAGAGATACTGATAACTTTATGAATTTTTTTGCCAAGTTTAAAATCTATGATAATATGTATTTTTTTCTCCATATTTAACTTCATTACAAAATTAAAAATACTAGTTTAATTTGTAGTATCTAATCAAATAAAAGTTTCCATTGAGCATATCATTTTTTGAAAAGGTTAACTGTAGATTTTAGCTATACATATTTACAGATATTAAATTGAATAACAAATAATGTTAGGAGGACAATATCATATTAATAATTTTAGCTATATTTACACTTTTACTATTGATACTAGTAGTAATTTAAGCAACAGAAATTAATTTATTTATTTATTTCTGGCGGTAATTGTTGTATATTCTAGTCTCTCTAGTATGCCGTACCACTTGTAGCAAATAAATTTAATAAATATATTGTGCTGTCTGCTGTCCAGAAAATATATAAATTATTTTTATTTTTGTCTCTCAGACCAGACCCAACCCATCTCCTACAACCATCTGTCTCGGTGGTGTTCTTTGATCCTCTCTCTTACAAACCTAAAATCTCGGCATTCGATCTCTGGGGAGGATCGACAAGAAAGAGAGGATTCACGATGACGATCTTATTAGCGACGCTTTTCGAATCCACCAAGGATAAATGCTATGCCCCAAGCTTCATCGCCGTCAATCTCTCTCTGGCTTTTATCGATGCCGCTCTTGCTTTCATCGCATTCCTTCAGGTTCTGAGGATTCTGATTATAGTTTTTCTTCTTCTTAAGGTTTCGTTTTTCCTGGAAACAAAAACGATTTGATTTCTGAATGCTAGATTTTGTGAGACCGCTTTGGCCTGTGAAGCATTGTGCTGAATTTGGTCTTTTAGAATTCGATTTGATGTGAGATTATTGATTCTTGTTGTTGAATTTAATGAATGGGTTGATTTCAGTCTTTTAGACTTGTGTGTCTGTTGTTCATGTGGTTGACCATTAAGTTTCAGGTCAACTCTATGAATTAACTCACGGAATCTCAATTGTGTTTGTGTAGAATGAGAGATTTGATTCAGGGAATCTGAATCTGATATGAATTAGCATTAGAAAGTAGAATCTTTTCTTTTTTAAAGTGCAGTGAGTGTAGATTAAGATGTCTATGTAGCTTTAGACTTTGAAGTACTTCAAAAAAGGTCTTATTCTCTTCTTTTTTTTTGTGGGGTTTGGCTTATAAGATTTATCTTGGCTGCCTACTTCTTTCAGTTATCTCGATTTCACAGGCGGAATAAACAAGTTGGATGGACTCGGCAAAAAGTAATTCTTTTCATCTTTCTGTTTCTTATGAATCCCAATTTAGGCTCTATGTTGTTGTTATATGGATTTAATTCTTGTTACTTGTTATGATGTGTATCTGACACATCCATCAAATGAAAATTGCAGGTACTTCATCTTATGATTGGTTCTTCAAACACTGGTAAACCCTCGGGGCATTCATTATATAGGCAACAAAGATAATTGGGGAAAGTTGCAGCATGTGAATAAGGTCTCTCTATCCTAATCTATTGGCAGGTTCTGTCGTTTATTTCGTTGCTGCGATTATAGCGACTTGCACGAGGTGGCATCATTGGTCTAACGCATTAGGTTTTCTACTCATGGGTAAAAATTCCACTCCTTTGTTAAGGTTTGTGTATGTTTTTCATTGATTTCTCCTATAGTTAATTCCCTTATGAATCAAATTGTACTTGCAGCCTTTCCCAAAATTCTGTTTCTGGCAACTTTTCTCCTGCTTCTCTCTTTCTGGTATTTATATTCTCAATACTCTCATCATATTGTGTTGTTCCTGATTATTCTATCGGAATAATGATCTGAGTAAGAAAATGATACTTCTTAATGTTATAGGGTAGATGTTTGCCATCAGGGAAATGGAGAGGAGGATGATGATGATGATGAAGAGAATAGCATCCAACAAGTTTTGCTTGAAAAAAGCAACACCAAGCCAGGTTCTTCGAATGCAAGTGATCGTAGAAAGTGTTGCTCTTTCCATGGTATTCATGTTGGAACCCGTCAGAAGTTTGTCGTTGCGGTATGGGATACTTTTGGTTTTGTGCGTTAACCACTAGCAGAGTCATTTCTGTGAGATCTTTACAAAAATGTTTATCTTTTTGCTAGGCGGTTATTCTTGTGTTCATCTTAATGATATCATTTGCAATTCTTATCTGGATCGCTTCCGGAAAAAATCCTATGAATTCTTCATTATTGGCTGAGGTATGTGCTATTCCTCTGCACATTGAAAGAATATTTCCTCTTTCACCAAGTTCTTAAGCTCGAGAAGTAGAAGACTTTTGTTGATATTGTTTCTGGTTTTATGATAAATTCACTTCCTTATGTAGGTGTATGTCGATATTTTTGCTGCAATAATCCTAATCACGGGAGGAGGAATATGCTTCTATGGTAAGTGATTTCTTCAGTTCTTTTCTGCTTTCAGCTATTCATACTTTTCTTGTAGCATTTCGTGAGATGCTTTGGTCAGTGGTTTACAGGCTTATTGCTATGATTGAACAGCCTAGATTCACAAACCCTTTTGTGTTCTTTCTTGTTCTTTAGGCCTGCGTCTGCTCTTTAATCTAAGAAAGGTGCGGTCTGAACAAGTTTCAGCAGAGATGCGTAAGGTAATTACTGATTCTTATTGGCTCCTGAAGCTTTTCTTTCCTTGCACATGTCAGTCGAATCCTTACACCGAAGAGCATTTTAACCATTTATAGGTATCGGGTTTAGCAGGCGTCTCAGTTGTTTGCTTCACTGTTAGCTCTTTAATCGCTCTTCTCACACACATTCCAGTAAGTCATTATCACTCAAAAAAGTATGTCTGTAAACCGAAACCTAACATTTGTCGATACGCTTAACCAAAAACAATCTTTGATCTCAGCTCTTCTATCATTGGAACCCAAGCAAATTACACGGCATCAAAGCATTGGTTCTTCTGATCATATACTATTTCATAGGTGAATGATTTTTTCTTTCGTTTGTGGTTATATCAAATGCAGTATTATTGATAAGATCGCTTTTTGACAGGTTTCACTGTACCATTGGCTTTCGTTTTATGGGTATTGCGGGAGTTACCCCCTCAAAACATTGTGAGTAGACAAGAAGATACCAGAAGGATTACTTATGTCAACTATGAAACTGTTGCAAGGCAACCTCCACAGGACTGGGCCTCCACTACAGTGTCGAAAAATCAGGTACACAATTCTCTTGATGAACATCCAAATTAGGAAGTCATGTCGACCCACAAAAGGAGTTTTGTTGTCAGCTGTAAAATGCATGCATGATGCATCAGCTATAAATCGAAGCACACCACAATATTTATTGCTAACTAACTCTTTTAAGATGACAAAAACTCAAACCGAATGCGCACTTTTAAGATAGATTCAATGTTGAGAGCATTCAAGAAAGGTTTGAAAGAATCGCGGTCTGAACATGAATACATAGTTGAATGTTGAAACACTACGAAAAATCCTCAAGTGAGATAGTAGTTTTCACTCTGTTAGTGACTTCTGAGGTTGTTTCAGAGTTCTTCTTTATCAACCATAGATTGTTTAGGGAGGTCACTTAACATGTTTTTGGTACGGACACGATGGTGCAGGTTTCTAAAGCAAGTCCTATATGAACGAAAGAATCGTTATAAGCATTGACCTGAAGCAAAAATCCGCCAATTTACTCTTCTAGTTACCGGGAAAAAGCCTCGTTGGATTGCGGAATGGTAGTTAGGCCGAATGTGTTGTGTTGTGCTGGAGTGAATGAAAGTGGTAACAAGCTCTCGTTTTCTTCTCTCTATGTCGCCTTGGAAGACAAAAAATTTGTTTATAAGATAGAAAGGGAGGTTTTAATCTGAGAAAGCTCTGTAAATATTAACTTTTGATTGCAGTTTTTAGTTTTAGGTGCATCATGTGTTGGAACTTGTGGATGGGATATAAAATGTGTTCTAAGGAAGAAGATATAAATTTTGTCTTCCTTTCTAAACAGCGTCGTTTAACTGCTTTTTTATTATTTGCAAATACGACGACGCACCGTTCTGATTTAAACGCTGGCGTATTGACGTTTGGGACTGAACGCCGCCGTTGAAGAAAGATAGCTACGTAAGTCGAGCATTATACGATGTCGTATCACTCCTTTTTCGAAAATTTGTAGATTTGTTTTTGGTAAACGTAGCGCCATTTTTTCACATAAAATTTTGAGACCACGAAACGGTGTCGTTTTGGGATGTTATCGTTAAATTGACGTATCTGATAAAAAAAAAGGAAATTGAAGGATCTGATAAAAAAAAGGAAATTGAAAGATCTGATAAAAAAAAGAAATTAAAGGATTTGATAAAAAAAAGGAAATTAAAAATCATTAAATAACCGTTGGTGAACTTTTTGGATATTTGTGGTCTTGTGTTTTCTCCTCCACTGTCACCTTCCTCGCTAAGCAAAAGAATTTAGAGAGAGCTTCGTACTATGCCCAGAGAAAAAAGCAAAAAGCGAGAGCACAAAAAAAGAAACATCAAAAGCTGAAAAAGCTTAGACGGAAAAAAGCACAAGTATATGCATATAGAATTAAACCAATCTCTCGAAGAAAACCCTTTTTGCCATCTTTATCAATCTCTTTTCTTTTGTGTTTCTTATAAAGTGGCTATAAAAGGAGATCAATTAACAAATATGTTAATCGATTACTTTGATTTCAGTGACATTTTTGTTTTGAAGGATAAATTATTGGGTTTTTGCGGAGGAGGAGACGGTGGTTGTAGTAATTGTAGTTTCGAGTCACGGCGGATATGGAAGCTAGTTCGAGTGGAACGGCGGAGTTGCCGCGGTCTCTTTCCCGGAGAGCTCCGTCACGTGCGACTACTATGATGATTGATAGACCAAACGAAGATGCTAGTGCTATGGATAGCGAGCTTGTTCCTTCCTCTCTTGCTTCTATTGCTCCGATTCTTCGCGTTGCTAATGAAATTGAGAAGGAGAATCCTCGAGTGGCTTATCTCTGTGAGTCTGTTTTTTTTTGTTTGAAATTCACTCTTGGGATTGATTTGCTAAGCTAAGATAGTCTTGTTTATGAGTATAAAGATTCGAGTAGTATTGATGCGAATAGTCTTGTTTGCTTTAGCCAGTTTCTGTTTAAAGCTGTTGTATAGATGGTTTCTGTTTACCATAGACATAGTTGTTTAACGAGTATGGTTCTGTTTTTGACTACATCAGGCCGGTTTCATGCGTTTGAGAAGGCTCATAGGATGGATGCTACATCGAGTGGACGCGGTGTTCGTCAGTTTAAGACCTACCTGTTACATAGACTGGAGAAGGTATGTTACTTGCTTGGTCAAATCCCAAATGGTTTCTCTAAGTGGTAAGAAGATTTCCACTTTACTTGATCATGTTTAGCTGATGTGTCTTTACTTGTTTTAGGAAGAAGTGGAAACCAAGCCTCAGCTGGCGAAAAATGATCCTAGAGAAATTCAGGCATATTACCAGAATTTCTATGAGAAATATATTAAAGAAGGAGAAACATCAAGAAAACCGTGAGGCCATTTTCCTTATTCCTGACAAATATTCAATAAGCTAAGCGTAGTGATATTGAGCTGCACTCTTATGTTTTCGGTCTTTTGTTTTTTTGCTACAGGGAGGAGATGGCAAGGCTTTACCAAATTGCTTCGGTTTTGTACGATGTACTGAAGACAGTAGTACCTTCTCCAAAAGTGGATTACGAGGTTCGATTTATATGCGTAGTAAATTCCTTTAATGGTTACTTTATTTTATATGCTTGTTTCATATGCTTCTGTTATTATAGACCCGTAGATATGCAGAAGAAGTTGAAAAGAAAAGGGATAGATATGAGCACTACAACATTCTTCCTTTATATGCTGTAGGGACTAAACCAGCTATTGTGGAACTTCCTGAGGTACGTTTGAACACCGGGTGATTGCTACGAATTAGTAAGCTAGAGAAATATTTACACTCTTTTGTTTTTCTTGTCATGTTATGTGCTGTGCCAAAAATAGGTCAAGGCTGCATTCAGTGCTGTTTGTAATGTGCGCAATCTTCCACGAAGAAGAGTTCACTTGCCATCTAATGCCCCTAATGAAATGCGTAAGGCTAGAACCAAACTTAATGACATACTTGAATGGCTTGCTTCTGAGTTCGGATTTCAGGTACCGTGCTACTTAACTGTCTTTATGTACTTTTATCTTTTATAACTCGTATTGTGGTTATGATGATTTGCTAGGCTGATGTAGTGTTTGAGTTTTGTGACCTTCCTAGATTGAGTAAATTTCGTAATATGCTTACTATCACTATTCTGTGACTTGTATATAGAGAACCATATCACTAGCTTTATAGTGTTTGTAAAACTTATGTATACGAGAGAAACATGTCAACTTTGAGTAATCACATGAATCAAGTCTGAATTTGAGTGTCTCATGGTCAAGTTTTTATCAGCATATCTTCAGACAGTTTGGCAATATTTACTTATATGTTGTTGCAATTCCTTCTATGTATGCATATTTATTGTTGTGTCACGTCGTATTGTGATTGAAGAGAGGGAACGTAGCAAATCAGAGGGAGCACATAATACTGCTTCTTGCTAATGCTGATATTAGAAACAGAAATGATGAAGAATATGATGAGGTGAGCATTGTTATAGAGAATGCCTTCTGTTTTTCTCCTACACTTCCTCCTGTTTTAGTAATGTTGTAAGTTTCTTGCAGTTGAAACCTAGCACCGTCATTGAGTTGATGGACAAAACTTTTAAAAGTTATTACTCATGGTGTAAATATTTGCACTCTACGCCTAATCTCAAGTATGTTGTATTCTTGATCTAGATTATGTGATAAGTTCCAAAGATTTTATTTTTGCATTATGTTCTGTCTTTGGGGTCACATATCTGATGTTGGATGCTTCAACTTGAATCTTAAAAGGTTTCCAGAAGGTTGTGATAAACAGCAGCTGCGGCTTATCTATATTTCCCTGTACCTTTTAATATGGGGCGAAGCCTCAAATGTTAGATTTATGCCCGAATGTATCTGCTATATTTTCCATAATGTAAGTTTTCTCATCTGTAAAACTAGATTTGCATACTTTCCATAACTTTCTTCCGGTTCTGGATGGTTTGAAATGCTTTTCCGGCCTATTTTTGTTCTTAAGATGGCAAATGACGTCTACGGAATTCTGTTTAGCAATGTTGAAGCTGTTAGTGGTGAGACATATGAAACAGAAGAAGTTATTGATGAAGAATCATTTCTGAGAAATGTCATAACTCCAATCTATCAGGTCATACGCAAGGTAAGTATATCAAAGTCAATCATGTTGTATATTCTTATAAGTAACTGTACACTATCTTTTGAATGAAAATGATTCCGTGAAGGAAGCCAGAAGGAACAAGGGGGGCACAGCAAGCCATTCGCAATGGAGAAATTACGATGATTTGAATGAATACTTTTGGTGCCTTTCTTTACTCTATTATTTACACATGCCTGCTTGATATAGTTTCTGATTACTGACATCTTTATTTATTTGAAGGTCTAAGAAATGCTTCAAGATAGGATGGCCTCTTGACCTTAAAGCAGACTTTTTCCTAAACGCTGACGAGATAACCCCACAGAACGAGGTATATTTCATTTGCTTCTGTGTAGTTGTAATAAATTTAATAGGGTATGAGAAACAAATTTAACTAATATGAGGCTAATGAGTAATGAGTCCACATAGAATTTCCACAATTTACGTTATCAAGGTGTTCTTTAAGTTGCAGAAGCCTGATCGTGTAGGTCTAATGTATTGCAGAGGCTGAATCAAGTCACTTATGGGAAAAGCAAGCCTAAAACCAACTTTGTTGAAGTCCGCACATTCTGGAACCTCTTTAGAGATTTTGATCGAATGTGGATATTTCTTGTCATGGCTTTTCAGGTAAATTTTTAGAGTTTCAAAAGAGTTGTGTTAGTCTGAAAACTAAATAATTGGATGGCATGGTAATAGTTGGATGGTAATAGTTAGTCTGTATCATACTTGTCCTTATCTTTTGTAGGCTATGGTAATAGTTGGATGGCATGGTTCTGGGTCCCTAGGCGACATCTTTGACAAGGATGTATTCAAAACGGTGTTAACTATTTTTATTACTTCGGCGTATCTGACTCTTTTACAAGGTTGTGATTTCCTTTGCTATTTCTTGTTTATTAGTGACAAGTTTTTCTTATTTTGATGTTCTAATGGTGTTCCTTGTCCTATTGTTCTCTCATGATTCTTTACATAGCTTCACTGGACATTATCCTTAATTTCAATGCTTGGAAGAATTTCAAGTTTTCCCAGATATTGCGGTACCTTTTGAAATTCGCAGTAGCAGCTATGTGGGCAGTGCTGCTTCCAATTGCTTACTCGAAGTCTGTCCAACGCCCAACTGGAGTTGTAAAGTTCTTCAGTACTTGGACTGGGGATTGGAAGGATCAGTCCTTTTATACGTACGCTGTTTTATTTTACGTGTTACCAAACATACTGGCAGCTCTGTTATTCCTCGTTCCACCATTCCGGAGAGCCATGGAGTGTTCAGACATGCGAATTATCAAGGTTATTATGTGGTGGGCTCAGGCAAGTATTAAACTATTCTTCTGGTTCTTGAGTATACTGGTCTTCACTTTTCTTTTTCTTTTTGTCACCTCTGTTTCTTTATGCTTTTTCCATCTTGTAGCCAAAACTATATGTTGGAAGAGGTATGCATGAGGACATGTTCTCTCTCTTCAAGTGAGTGATCACGACATTTCCTGTCACCATTAATAACTTCTTAAATATTTCTTCTAACTCTTATACTAGCCTCTTCTCATATAGCACAACTTATTATGGTCAGGTATACCACCTTCTGGATCATGCTACTGATCAGCAAGCTTGCTTTCAACTATTATGTGGAGGTCTGGTTTTTGCGTCTATATTACTTTCTTTTTCTCACTTATAGCTACTCCAATGTAGGTTACTTAATGTGTATATATGTTTTTTATGTATATCTT